TTTTTAAGGACGATAGGATGGTACAATTGCTGCATGTAGCAATCAAAGAGTCTGACACATCCTGTTAAATTGTCCAGGAAAACAAATCTCCTTAAATGTCATGTCTCTCGTCATCGGTCGTGTGACACCTTTGTACACACACTGGGAAAGTTAAAGCGTGGAACGAAGTGTAAAGGGCAGCGTGGAGTGTGATGTGGCTTGAAAAAAACTGGCAATGTTAACGAAACACTGCAGCATGTTAATGACCCGAATGCGTTTCCAATTCGTTTGTTTTGGTGAAGAAATTTTCGCTAAATATCGTCATGGAAACTCAAATGGAGTGGCAGTCTCTACAAGAGCGAGAACACCGTCTCACCTGTGCTCTTTCAACAGCCTGGAACTTTGCTGATTTATATTACGTGGTACACAAAAGCCGAATTTAATTTAAGTAATTGTATCGTGGTTTCCTGTTCAAAATTTGCTGAAATGTTCAAATTCCCTGCGGTTTTATAAACCATTTTATCGTTCACCTTTCTGAATCAACTGGCACAGGTGGCATCATCTCTGTCGGTTTGCCCGGTAAGCAGAGTACAGTGTGTCAGGCAAATGTGGACATTTTAAGATGTTTTTATGTTCTCTTGAATTCACTTTCAAATGTTCGAGATGCTCCGAGAACATATTTTCACTTTAAGATTAAATGAAATGTTAATGGGAGAGTGCATCAATATGCAAGGGTGAAAAACAGACCTGGCACAGCGTTTTTTATCACAATTTAATTCGGAACCATTAATCCTTCGTGAAGCTGTTTGTGTTTACTACAGATCACATACTACCTTGAGGCATGTTCAGCTTCTGTCCATTGCTGTAGAAATGTGATTCATATTTTTTTTATTTAAGTGAATAAAATGTAGCATTGTGTGCTTGGCATTAATTATTGTCGCTTATCGTACTTTTTTTATGTACTAAAGAGTATATCGTCAACGCAGGATAATTTCCTCAATTTTACAAATAGCTTTGCAGAACCCATAATTGGCATAATGCTTCCCGTAATGACGCTGGCGCTTGGTGTGTGAACATCCCTGCCAACAGTTTGCCATGCGTTCAATGTTGAGGAGTTGGCAGACCCTTCCTCCACTGCCTCCTACCTTGAAAGCGCGAGCCCAGAGCGGTACAACTGCTTCGGAGCTGCTCATAGTATTAGTGAGCAATCAAATCGAGGTGACTCGCCGTGTCGTCCCGCGAAGTTGTGCGAGAAGCCGAGGTTGTGACCTGTATCATTTGTGTTTTCACAGCAAATTAACTCGATGAGGCATTTGTTTTTGTATGTTCCACTTTACTGTTAAATACACACTGTGTGTGGGGGGGGGGGTTATTTTAAATCACATCAGGTTGTTCATGTTAACCTAAAAGGTCAACAGGAAGGCTGAATTTACATATGCAGTGATGTGGGCCTAAGAGATTTTTTAAAACATTTAAATATTTTTTAGCCTCTCCCCCTCCCCCCAATGTTATTCTTTGTGTGCTATCCACATCATGATAATGACTTTATTTGAATATCTCAGAATATCTTGACAAGAGGTTTCCACAGAACTACTTCTAAAAACTCTGAAGGTGGCCTCCCTATGTTTACACATTAGGAGTCCACTTTGCCACAACTTTGCTATGATGTTCGTGCTTTTGGCATCACGGTTACACTGTTTTAATTCTCATCTAGCTGAGATTCATCTAAATGAAGGAAAAACAATAAAACCATCCAAATGATGATGTGTTTTAATGCAGTCACAGTTGACCAGGCTCAGACCAACTTAGCTGCCCCATATGCCATAGGAGCCGTGTCCTAGACACGAAGGCTGACTCCACAGTCTGGCGAACAGTGCAGTCATTGAACGACCATGACTTGCGCTGTTGATGTTACGTAACGTACGCCACTAACCAAGCGCATCACGTTGGTTTTAACCTAAAACACGTGGTGTCATGGCATGTGACTGAATTGTACATTTTTCATGTGGCGACACGTGTGCTTCGTGTTTCAGAGCTTTTGGATATCCGTTCAGTTATATCTGCCTGTCAAAAAAATATTTTTAAATAGTCTTGAAAGTGCTACACAAGATTTAAAAGTATGGCTTAATGCCTAATTGTAAGGCAATATTTGTTTTCATTAAATAGCGATTTGTGTTTGTGTTATCTTGAAGTAATGCTGCTGTGCAGTGTTTGGGTAGACGTGTCAAGAAACCTGTGAACGGTTTCATTGTATTTGTTTTAAACACAGTTGCTGATCACAGGCCAAAATGCTCAAAAACATCAAAACCACCGACAACAAAACCGCCTAATCAGAGTTGTAATTGAAAATAATTAACACGTTTCTTGAATTAAGCAAGGTTATGAGTTCCTGTCGAACATCATGCCGACCTCGCATGCGGCGAGCAGCAACGTCAACAACTGAATATAACGGGGCCACGTTAAACCGCAAACTACTTGTACGCGACAATGTCGACCGGCCCCTTTCAGACCCGCCTGAAATGCCATCGGCCATTCTGGTCTAGTCGGTGAATCGAGATGCTGTCCACGGTGCTGCACCCTGTGCGGACAGCTGGAAAACAGAGTGGAGGAATGCACAGACGACCAACAAAACACCTGACCGGCGACCCAACTGAACACCGGCCTGGCATCTCGCTTCCTAGTAAACGCAAGTTGGAGGATCAAGGATAGGGGTCCACCCTTTGACTACGGAGTGGAACAAACAATGGGACACGTCGTTGTCAACTGCTGCCATCTTAAAACCAACAATGTTGGATGGTAAAATAACATAGACATTGATTTATAAAACTATAAAATAAATATAAACTATTTAATTTTAACAGGTAAGGGCCCACTGAGCTATATAGCTTATTTCAGAAGTGACCTGTCCACAAATGAAAGCTTAACGAAGTGGCTTATCGTGTGGAAATTTATAGCAGCCAAATACTCTAAACGCACGTTGACTCTAACTGGGGAGAGAAATCCCGGAGGACCCAGAGAAAAATCCACGCGATCACGGGGAGAACATGCAAACTCTAAATATACAGCGGGCGTCAGGGTCGGGATCGAACCCATGTCCTCCTACATACCAGGCGATGTAGTTAACATCTCGCCACCGCGGTACTGCTGTACTTAAAATGAGTTGTAAATCTCTGCATTGTGCCATATGAGAGAATGAGATATTGTGAAGCAATGGAAGGGAATTCCAAAGATGTGCCGTGCGAGGGAAGCTTTAGAATGGTCTCTGTAATCTTAAATTGCAAATTTGTTGTGGCGTTCTGTTTTCCTGCTGCACAGTTACATTAAGACATGGAGCTGTTTGTAACAGTCATTATACAAGTGTAGAAGAGGGTTGGGAGGGTAGGAATTCCACTGGGTCATGTATATTATGATTATTTGGCAAGATGTTTTAGAGCTGTGGTCTATACACAAGGTAGAAATTCTAGAAGCTTCAAAAATGTTATCTTTTTATATATACTCATGCTAATTTAGAATTATATTCTTGGTTGTTTCGGAAAAGTCACGTAGAAGGGAAATAATAAAAGAAAAAAATATTAAACTTAACTGAAAGAACCAAGAATATGAATCCCTGCAGTCACGAAAGCTTTGAATCAAATTTTTATTTAGAATTATCAAATGCAATTACTTTTGTCGGGCAGTGTCCAGTGTCGCATAGCATTGGAAATTTAGTTTCAATTGTTTTTCTTGAGTAATTCACTGGAGGGTTATTAACCTGACCAAGTGTTTATTAAGTTACATCCCTGGTTCACTTGCTGTATGATCATCTACCTTCATTAACAAACTCGTGTTGGTAAGAAATAAATGTCCACGCTGTTACTGCAATGCTTTTGCATATCATACCCCAGCTGTGTACCTTTATAAGTTTTTCTACAAACAAGTACTTTTTCTTTAGAACTTTTTTTGTGTTTTAGTTGTCCTTCCCCCACGCCTCTGATTTAGCACGGTTGGCTATGTACGGTGCAAAAGAAGTTCCACATACACACTTAAAAACCCATCGTGTGAGAGAAAGGTGGATACCACAGAGCTGCTGGATACAACCACATTTGCCAATGTGATGTGTAACTTTGATCCTTACAGGTGTATCGATAGTTCAATTTTTATTTCTAATTTTATTGAGGGACTGTGGTGGTGTGGTCTGGAACTGTTTGTGTTGCTGCCTTGCCCAATCTTGCATTTAGTGTTGACAAATCGGCAACAAGTTATTTATTTATTTATTCAATTTGTACTTATGTATACTTTATTTGTATCTATTCATTTTTTTTCGTAACTTGCTCATCTTTTATCCATTTTTGCAATCCCACCGTTTTCTGTATTGTTTGTAACTTGCTGACCCGCCCCTTCATGGACATCTGTTACAAAGCGCGTTATAGCTCATCAGATTCCTCCAGTCCAAATAAAGATAGAGATTCTATATTATGATATTTCTGATACTACTACTATCACTTCCCAGAGCTGGAATTGTCAAGTTAGGTTCAGAATCGCATATAATGTGCTCGTTTGTTACGCGTTCATTGGTGACCGGCTCAAGCCTACGGTTAAATCACACGTGGCTGGCTTTGATGTCAAATCCAGGATCTCGGCAACGCAAGCTCAGTGCTCTGACTCCGTGCCACCCGGCCACTTCTATCTGGTTAAGTGGCAGCACCGAAGGCTTAAATAACAGACCCGCTGTCCTGCACGCTGTTTTATTAAACTTATTTTACGAGAAGGCCCACTGAGCTGTCTAGCTCTTTTTCAGAATCGACTTGGCCACAAATGATAGCTCAACAACGTGGCGTATCACGTGGAAATGTATTGCAGCCAAATACTCTAAATGCATGTTTCTAAATGTGGAGGGGAAAAACTGGCAGACCCGGAGAAAAATCCGCGCGACCACAGGGAGAACGTGCAAACTCCATATGCAGACGTTGGGGTCGGGATCGAACCCACGACCTCCTGTATTACCAGGCAAGGTATTTAACGTCTCGCCACCGTGCCTGCAGGTCCCATCGAAGAGTTCCTCGGAGCTGAACCCCAACGCCAAGGCATGGCAGGTGCTGGCGCTGAGCGGAGACGAGCCCGGGGAGCTGCCCTCTGGCACGGCCGGTGACGGCGCCTGGCACGACCCCTCTGGGAGCGCCAACATGGCCGCCGTCGCCTACGAGGGCGGTACGTCCAGATACCGAGCAACTCTCGGTGTTCTTTGTTGACAAGTGGCATGTATGTGGTGGCAGTACAAACATGCCGATCTGTGTATTTTGTTGCACGCCTGAGTTTTCTCCTTGCATTCGGGTTTCTGCCGTGCGTTCCGGCTACTCTTGGCATCTCACATTATGATCTTTGTAATGGACACAATAAGTCGCGTTATAAAAAGAATGTCCAGTTCTATGAATAAACTTTGTGTAGTTATGTTAATGAATGCTGCATTAATTCCTATTGAACAGCGTTCTGCAGCCAACCTGATTGCACCGGTCTATGAAGTGACTAAGCATTATGCTAAACGTGTCGGAAACCTGAGATGGCAACACTAGGAGAAGACTAGTACTGACTTGTGTAATAAATGCACATGTGCATTTTCACTAGCTATTCTAAAGCTATATACTTATTGTATGGAATTTGAACTCGTGCCCTTGGAAACTTGGGTCATTCACATGCTCTGGCTAGTGTTGTCTCTGTTCTCATATTTAATTTATGAATAAAAAATGATTTCGTCACATGGGAAAATTATTTCAGCCGTTCACATCCAGTACACCTCATGGTGATTGTACGTTACAGATTCAATTATACACTGGTGATTTTTTTAAATAATGAGTTATTAAATTGTAATGAATACATCATAAATATTTCTCATATCGATTTAGGAATGATCTGTTGTTTAAATGTAGTTTTGCGGACGCCCCCTGTAACCGTAAAAGCTCTCCGACCCAGCTTGGAGAGGTTTTAGTCCGTGTACCCTGGTCACAAGACTTGTTTTGGACTGATAGATGAAAAATTAAGAGCACCAAGCCAACAAGGGTAGTACATTAATTGGCAATTCACTTACAAACAAAACCCTACAGAATGCATTTTAAGACGACTTAATTTGTATTGATTGCTGGGTGCAGGTAATCACAACACCGTTGATATATATTGAAAAGCACTTGCTTACGATCGTAACTCATGTGGGATCTACTACGTTTTTTGAGGCTGCGGTAAGACATGCGATGAAATTAAAATGTAGTAATCCGCATTGCATTTGAGCAGGTGGTGTTTATTTTAACAGATATTTCCATGGTGACAAATGAGCGGCCATTGTAAAGCGTTACAAAAGCCCTCGGAAGCTTTTGGCGTCATCGTGCGTAGGTAAAATTAATCAGTAAAAGGGCACATCCGGTTGTTTGGTGACCAAGGTAAGGTTTCTGGAGGGGGTGACGATTTAATTGTTGAGCTTTCAAGGTATTTGTCTCCTGTGAAGGTGCTCTTTTCATACGAGCACTGTAAGGTTGGAGGGACACTGTTTTTTGGTGTGCCTAATTTCGCAACCACATACAACGGCGAACAAAGGGGCGCTTTGTTCTGACACACGCAAATAACACACTTGGTCTTTAGTTTCTCCCCTTAAGGCAACACTAACACGATATGTCCTGTGTTTTTATACACTGTGTATTACATTAAGTGTACTACATAGTCTTTAATTGTAAGGTAAATATACGTACTCGGCTGATGAGGTGCGTTGCATGCTTGCAATAATAATGGGATGAAGGAAAATAAAATTAGCATGAACCATCCGAGCTAATTTCTAGGATTAAGCAACTAATAGGGGCGAAATTATAGCAGTCAAAACAGTGCCTTGTATTGCAGGTGTTTTGTTTTACCTACACGTAAACGCGTATGGTTTTGAAATCTGTATTCGTGTAATGAGTTTGGAAATTTTAATTATTCAGCAACGTCTTCCTTGGGATATTAGACCTTTAAATATATATATTTTTTGCAAAAAAGAGCAAGAATATTTGTAGAAAACCCTACATATTAAAGAACGCTGAGACACGGCTGGGATGGCCACGTGGTCTGTTCACGTACACATGAGCACATTCTCACGGAACTAAAACAAAGTCGTGAGGTGGAAAGGATATCTGTCCACATTTGGCACTGGTGCCTTTTTAAAGAGAAACTTTTACATTGTCTGAAACCAGGTTTTTAAAATGCTTATTCAGCTCTTCTGAATGGTAAATCAATAATTACTGTATTAGATTGTGTTCTAGGATTCTCTTAAGTCAAGGGGACAGCACATTTTGGCAGTGTCATCTATTGTAAATCACAGCTGACACCACTTTTTTTGGAGGATGACATTTCTTGGAGGGATGACCTTGATAGTTTGGTGTGATTCCAAACATCAGCTCGAGGATTCCTTCTGGATTAATCAATTTGCAAATTGGAGCACAGAAAGTAAGGTACAAACTAGATTCGAAGCTTCCTTTACTGCAGGAATTACTCTATGGTTCTTTCGGTAAAGTCACGTGGAAATAAATTCAATTCAATAATAGAATACGACGCTTCGATTGCAACACAAGCAACCATCATCTGGTACAAATGAATGAGAAAACAAACAGGTCCAGTAGGTGATACATTACTTGTATAATGTGTCGGAGAAATAATTTAGTCATTGGAATTCATTTGTGAGCAAACCAACCAAGCTGGATGCACTTGTAATCATGTAATATGATCCGTTAATGATCTGCCTTAAAATTGACGCAAGTTATATTAATGCTTGAAATATCAAATATATGTTTATGTTCATTACAAAGATGCATAAAATATATATTCTTTAGTCTCTTCTCCCCCCACCATCAACCTGCACTGACTACTGTAGTGAAGTATGCTAAAAAGGCTCACGGCGTAGCGTGGCCATCATCCAGCAGTGGTCTGATGAATGGGCTTCACGCGTATATGAAACGTTTAAGCGTATTGGTTGGACATCTTTGAGACATTTTGTTATTTAATGGCCGCATTGTTCATATCAAATTGTGTGGTCTCGGTCGCAGCAGTGTATGATCAGGTGAATGGCGAGGTGGGGAAGATCTTCCCAAGCATGGGAGAATCGCCAGGCTCCGTGCACCTCCAAGAGCTCACCTCCATCGGCGACCTGGTCCTCCATGCGCCCGAGACTCCGTACTCTCTCTACGAGCCAGCGCTCATCACGGGACCGCCAGGTCTGTGGCCCTGTTGCTAGTCATGGGGGAGATCATCGGTGGCTCTGTTCAGTAACCTCCCCGAGGATTTTGGCTCGCCAAAGCCAATGCAGGAGCGTTGACGTGCAGCAGCATGGGGATGTCTTCATCCTGCAGTGGATTGATCATGATTGATGATGATGATTGATGATTATAATGATGATGATGGAATCTGATTCTGCAAGCTTTTGGCAGTGTTAGCAGTTGGTTTGTATCGACTTGTGCATATCCTTTATTTTAGTTCAGACTGTTCTCCCTTATGCATATTTGCTAGATTCGTTAATGCAATGTTGAGTGTACATTTGTGTACACCTTAATGCCGTTGAGCAGTTTTTGTTTAAGTCTATGGTGGCTTCATGGTGAATAAGAATTGTGCTACATGGTTGTTTGTAAAATGCAAGCAAGGGTGTTCATATGTAGTTGAATGTGCAACTTCTTCTAAGCCATGTCTTTATTTTGCAGTGACGCATGATCTTAGCAATATAAGTTTATGTTGAGGGTAGTGGCAGGATGTTGTAGTGTGTGCTTGCTTTTATTAACGAGCAAAAATGCCTTCTCGTTAAGTTATTTTGACCATGAGTTAATTAATCTATGAATATAAACACCCATAAGTTAATAATGAAGTTGTTTTCCATGGAGACACCCAAACATTTTTGCATAGGGATTTATGAATACATATTCATGTGAATATTGATGCAAAGCACTGCAGTGTTGGGATGACAGCATAGGGTAATTATTCTACTGGTGCCGTTTTGTGCATGAAAAACCATACGTACCGTATCCATCATTGTTGCTGCTTTTGGCCAAATACAGACATAATGCTGCATTCGTTGTAAGTTCATTGTAACTCGTACAGATGTATGAGCACCAATGTATTCGTATAAAGTCCCGTAGTCGCGTAGATGTTTACGTGACTTTACGTAGACATCTACGTGACTTAACCGAAAGACCCAATTCACAAAGGCTTTAAGTCAACACCAATGTATTGTTTCTTAATTTAGGAAAGGCTCAATGTTATGCAGAGATTATTTTTGACAGGTACCACACTTGTCATATTTAGCAGCGTAAATCCGTTTATTGTTGTCCAACAGCCGAACTAAGTGTGTTTGCCTATCTGTGTAGTGGATGGAGAGTTGGTGGGAGACTTTCAAAACATGAGCAAGGAGGACCTGAAAGAGGTGCTAAGGAAACAACTGGAGTATTACTTTTCCAGGTAAGCCTTCAGCATGGGTGCCGAACACATTCATGCAGTACAGAGGAGCACTTCAACTTGAGCCACCTTTTGCATCTCTTGCCATGGTGGGATTGCATTCTCTGTTAATGATAATTGTTATTTTACCCTTTTTATTTGGCAACAAAACTGACACCTTTCTTTACAAGGAGTCATGTTTGCATTGACCACAATACCTGCGGTCGGAATGCAAAGAAAACACAACTCTAATAATGTATGCGCTGTCCTTGAAATTGATTGGTCCACACCCGAGACAGCTTTTCTTAGAGCCTCGTCTCACATGGTGTTGGACCAGATGACGCCAAAAGGCGCACAACTCAAAGACAATGCACCATCAGAGTATGAGAGCTCGGGGTAAGCATTGTCTACATAGATCATGATTTGGGATGGTCTTTATTCTTCGAGTACATATGCTAACATACATTTGAGGTATATAAGAAGGCTTAAACAAGGTGAAACTATGCAAAAGAGATCAGGTTAGTGGGTTTCCACTCTTTTAGAGCTCTGAGTCATTTTGCAAAAATGTGAGTCTATACATAAACGCTTTTTTAAACTTCCCTTAAAGTGGTATTCCTGGAGGGATAAAGGGTTGACTTGCCTAAATCAGGTTTTGTACTTAGAACCTGATTGGAACATTATAAACACTGCATCAGCCTGCCCCTTCTGTTATACTATAATTAATAAAACTAGGAATTACTTTAATGTGCTCTTTTTGCACGTGTGTGTGTGTTCTGCGCTGATTGCATGTGTCGTCTACAGAGAGAACCTGGCCAATGACCTATATCTGGTGTCCCAAATGGACAGCGATCAGTATGTGCCCATCTGGACCATTGCCAACTTTAACCAAGTCAAAAAGCTTACGACTGATAAGGACCTTATTGTGGAGGTCCTCAGATGTAAGTACTTTATTCATGGCCAAGTGCAGAACAGCATCTGGGATGAGCTTGTGCTTCTGTGTTAATCGGTTGACAATGGCAGTATTTGATGTTGTGCCTCGTACCATGTCCCAGCTAAATTTTGGTCACTATGGACATTCAAGATGCATACCTAGGCTGATTTTCCTGCATTGTCTAACACTTGAATTATTGTTCATTGACATAAAAGCATCGGTGTTACTGCATTAACATAATTAAAGCAAGTGTGAGAGTCACAGGAACACTTTGTCACCAAAGTGCTTTTTAGTGTGACTTTTAAAGCCTTAAAAAATAACAAAAGCTTTAAACACATGTTGGACAGCCAAGAACACCCCGGTATATCTCCTCGCTGATCACTTTGTTTATTGGGTTGTCTTATTTGAATTGCGTACTGTCCCTCTTTGCGTCGTCTCGGCCCACATCGAGTAGCAAGCGTAGTGGGAATTGTGTTCATGTGCAGCCCTTTTGTAATCTACTGCTGGATTAGAGCCTGTTCATGCTGTGTGAGTCGCGGGGAATTATTTCATCAAACTGCAACCACGCTGGTTGCATTGATGGTTGGTGAAAGCAGGCAGTGTACACGTGGACAGAGAAATATAGGATCACGATGAATGTTGCTGCATTGCCCTCTGCTGCCCATTACTTTGCCCTGCAGCAACATATAACAACAATCTTTTGGTCATGGTAATCACTCATCCAAGCACTGTTTGGCTTCCGAAATCTGATGATATCTATTGGGTGCGGTTTGGGTGATTTGGTAACAGGCCAGGCAGGCAAATTAACTTCAAATTTTGTTACAAAAGAAATGAGTGTTAGGTGACAGCATTTAGTGCCATTCAACCATGCCTTCATGTATGTATGTTGAACTTCTTTCGCACCGTACATAGCCAACCGTGTTATTCGGAGTTGATGGGGGATGACGACAAACGAAACGCGCAAAGAAACAAGTTCTCCCATTAGCGAGGCGTGAATTTATTTTGATGGCACATACGGACATCTCTCTTATCTCGATTTAAAGCTTTCGTAACTGCAGGGATTCATCTTCTTGGTTCTTTCGGTAAAGTCACGTAGAAGGGAAGTAATAAAATAATAAAAATAAAACATAATAAAATAATTCTCACAGTGAGAATAAAAAAAATAAAAACATAATAAAATAATTCTCACAGTGAGAATTATTTTATTATGTTTTATTTTTATTATTTTATTACTTCCCTTCTACGTGACTTTACCAAAAGAACCAAGAAAGATCTCTCTTATCCTTTCGTTGAAGTGTAATGTCGCCCATTGTGAATACGCATGTCCACAAAGTTAAAGCCGTACATGCTGTCTGTAGGCATTTTAAATCTAGGCATTTTTTTACATCCTGAGTGTTTGAGCAATGCCAGAATTTTGGTCATGCAAATGTTTTTTTTTGCATTTAAGATGCATGCATTTTGCATGTGAAAGCTATATTGAAGCACAATATTTGCTCGGGTGTTTAAGTTGCATATTACTGTTACTTAGAATGCAAAATCTTTTCTGCATTGTGCTTAATCCTTTATGCTTACATTCAATTGTATTCGGTCTCTTTAAGTTAATTTCTTTGTGGAGAGCTGTTTGAGATGCACCTGTGCATTTTAATTCCCGGCCTGCTTTTGTGTCTGTAAATAGTAAGTCGCATTTTAATTCTCTTTTATGGCATTCATTCTTTGTCTACATTAGTGCTTGGACATGCAATATTTCCAGTGTGATCCAGGTGCTGCAGTGTAGCATCTTGATCAAAGCAAATGTGATGATCATTAAGTCATCTGTAAGCACTCGTTACTTACCTGTTAGCACTTTTCATGTGATCCTAAGAACGGTCGCAAGATTTTTTTGTGTTGTTTTTCATCCACCTGTAATCTTTTCGTCTCTTGCAGCATCAGCAGTTGTGCAGGTGGATGAGAACGGCGAACGAGTTCGACCTAACTACAAGCGGTGTGTCGTCATTCTGCGGGAGATTCCAGAGACCACTCCAATCGAGGTATAATCCGTTCAATAATTCCAGCAACCCCGGTTTCTATTCCAGGGTACAGTGAAACCTTGGATTGCGAGCATAATTTGTTCCGTAAACGTGCTCGTAATCCAAAGCACTCGTATATCAAAGCGAATTTCCCCATAATAAATAATGGAAAACTCAGATGATTAGTTCCACAACTCAAAAATATTAATATAAAAATTATTGATACAAAATACTGTACCTTTTTATATTTGTATTTAAATTTAATATATAGTAATCAAATGTATTAATTAAATTTAATCGTGGCTGGTGTAAGGGAGATTAGAAAGAGTAGAGGAGGGTTATTGTGTAGGACGACTTTCACTTGCAGTACAGCTCTAAAGAACAGTCACTACACTTGGACACAAAATAAAAAAAATGCTTTACGCACACACACGTGGTCACAACACTATACTGTAGTAAGCAGTAAATGCTCGCACGGATGTTGACTGTACGAGTGAGGCACGCCGACTGAGACCGAGCATGGGAGATGATTACCCACAATCCCGTAGCGACAGAGAAGAACCATTGGCTCAGTTGTAATCACGTGACGCTCGGCAGACAAAGCGTATACTGTACGTACTGCTCGTATTGCAAGACATCGCAAATTTATCAAATTAATATTTATTAAAAATGTTGTTCGTCTTGCAAAACACTCGCAGACCAAGTTACTCGCAATCCAAGGTTTCACTGTACATATATTTTGAAAAACACCAGTGGCAATCTGCACCTGTATTTGTCATGGAGCGCTCTCCTACTTTCACTTAAGTTTGACCACCTTAAAATCAATCCATTAAAACAAGTGGTCAGCAATAGCCATGCAAAGCTTACTGCAATTAGGCAAGGTGCCAGGTTTATCTAGTGATTATCTTACCCACAATTATCTGCTCATTGACAGGTGTTCATATGACAGTCTAAGCAGAGGATTGGGGTTGCGTTTGTGTGTTTATTTCAGGAGGTTGAGGCCTTGTTTGGGGGTGAACAGTGCCCGAGGTTCATCAGCTGTGAGTTTGCTCACAACAACAGCTGGTACATCACCTTTGAGTCGGACACGGACGCCCAACAGGTGAACGCATGCCTTGGGAGATGCCACTCGTACCACGCCACCATGTAGTGTTGTGAAGAGGCCACGTTGCCCTATTTTACAATGCGTGTGGTGTTGTGCCATATTAAACTAGTCTGGCGAGATTATTTTGTTAATATAATCTTCATAATTTACGGCCTTCTCTCTATTTAGCCAGACAGTGGTGGGCATGACGCCTGTAATTTAGCACTGGTAGAGACGAGGGCTGGTAGTAACTCACTCGAAGGTTGTGAAATTTCCTTCCCATCACTAACTACATGCCTCTTAACCTGGCTTTGCCAGGAGAAAGGCAGAACAGAAAAATGTGGACTGAGGCACTATATTTTCTATTTGTGTGATAGTTTTGTTTCCACACACGCATGTGTTTTCTTGCGGTGCTCTGATTTCTTCCCGCATGTATAAGTCCGCATTAATTGGTTGAAAACGTATTCATATATATATGGGACTCCAGAGCTAAGACACTTGTTTGATTGCCACGTGGGTTGTTTCTTTCCCGCTTCTCATTGGTTTCTAGTGCCTCCAAGTCACTCTCCTGTCGGAGCATGAGCGAATACTGTGCACGTTACAAGATGAAAAAATATAAAAAATGTATTATATTTATTGTACAACCGTTCTTTTCTCAAATGTTATATTTTATAGCTTAATGGTTTCAGTCTGACCCACCACTTACTAGAGAAAGTAAGAAAAAAAATCTGTGTTTTAGAGCAGTTGATATTTTTGTTTTTTTATGACAGGCATTCAAGTACCTGCGAGAAGAAGTGAAAACCTTCCTGGGAAAGCCCATCATGGTAACGGGCTTGTCGCAGTCTGTTAACTGACATCATGAAATTACTAATCCCACAGCACTAGATATTCGCTTTAATCTTTAATGCAATGTCCATTCGGCGCCAATTCCCCCCCCCCATCTGTAACCCCATCCCAGGCTCGCATCAAGGCCAAGCCCATTGCTATCAACACGTTCCTGCCCAAGAATGGCTTCCGGCAAGCAGAGATCAGCATGTACCCCCTGCAGCAACAGCAGCAGCAGCAACAACAGCAGCGCTTTGCCACACCAGTCTACCTGCAGCCCATATACAGCACGCCACAGCAGTTTGGCTTCTATGGCGTGCTGCCTCCACCGGTCTGGCCCCCGTCATCTGCTTACTTCGAAGGGCCGCTGGTGAGAAGGCTTCCTTCCCCCTGTCGATCCTGTAGAAGTCCTCCACTGTGTTGAAGAGGCAGCGAGGGCAAATGGGGACGGAAGATTTCGTGCACGAGCTGAAGCGTGTAACGTGCATCAGTGTGTGATTGTCCAGTGTCAAGAGTTCACACGAGGGAATCGGCAGTGGATGCCACAAGGCTGATCCTGATGCCTTTTTTTTTGCCCAAATAATTGTGCTGGAATTGTGAGCGATTTAAATCTTACCATTTAATTTGATATTTTCCTTGAGGGCTCATGATGATGTATTGTTGTACGTGTACATCCGTTTTGTCAGTCCATTGGAAGGTGAGGACCCCTCCTCAGGCTGCATGAGTCATGGTGGTTAATTATCCATACTTGACCACACTGATCGTTGTCCGTTGGTGAAGGCGGGGAGCATAGATGTTGGGATGCAGTATATTCCAGTACGAAAATAAATGTAGTTACACTATGTATGTTGAACTTGTTTCGCACCGTACGAAGCCAACCATGCTAATCCTGAGGTGCAATAAGCACGGTTGGTTACACTGCCCTTTGTTGGAAACACATCCCCCCCCCCCCACATCAGTCTTGAACACTTGCTTTATGCTGTGTTAATATGCCAAATAAGTTACAAGACTAATTAAACTAATTTCTCAGCACTAGTCTGTACAGTGAGGATGGATTTCTTTTTGTGAAATATTTCTTTAAAGCTACGTGGTTTCTTTTAGCTGTAAATCATCTTTGGATTTGTTTGACTTGGGGCAAGCTAAAATGGGCATTGCATCGCTTTTTACCATTTTGTGTTAATCGTTTGCATTTTAAAATATTACCATACTTATCGTGTAGCCAATGTATCATCACTGATGCAGTGGCAATTATCACGTGTTCTGTATGGCAACATAATATCGAATGTGATGATGTTCAATGCTAAAATATCGCCAATGGCCATGGTAGATGGCTATTTAAAGAATATTTTTTTTTTTTACTTCTGAATTTCAGTCTGCTGATAACATTAGTGCGGATGAATGCATCAATGAAGATGGGTGGCCAACTAGATTAATCACTTTAATGTATTATGATACGAACATTGTGCTATATTCATAATCAACGTTTTTGGGTTTAGATCGCGTTATTTATAAATGTGTCGTAACCCTCCACCACCCGACACGGCCAATCAGTAAAAATGTGTCACGTTGACAAAGACAAATAGTTCACTGCTTTAGCCCACCGGTGTGTTGAAGCGCGAAACCACAACATTTACAATTTGAGTACGACGTTTCGCTGGTAATTGCATCCAGCATCATCGGGCAATTCGCCAGAATGGTGAGGCTCTGCTGTGTCTCCCGTTCTTATATAGAGCAGCAGCAGGGTGACGTCATCATTAACGAAAGCCTACGTGTTACATTGTGCTATATATCGAGTAATTTTATTACGTAGCAGAGGTAGAGTAAAGGGTAAAGCAAGTTTCCGATGCAAAAAGCACACTCCTTAACTATATTGACTTTTAACAGTTGTCACACCTGTTTGCTTGATGTTTAATTGCGCGGAAGGAAGGTAGGAGGAATATTTTTTATTGCAATCCATCAAAACACGCCTTGGCACTGATACCAGAGCGTGATACCATAACGCTCGGTGCGGGAGAAAGCCAGTTCAATATTAACCAAACCGACTTGGGCATCTCGGATCTAAAGATAGCGGTGCAACATATGACGGAGCAAGCAAATGACCGCGTACAAATATAACAAATGCATTTTCTTCGTGTTCCGCTTTTCAAAGGCGCAGTTTCCAAGCAGTGGCTTCCTGAACGGGTTCACCTCGCCTTCGCCGTTTAAACCAATACCAGCTCCTCAGAATCACATCAGACACTTCTACACTCGTGGCAGGTGGGCAAAAGACTCATTGCTGACAGTCAATCCTTGTGTGTTGCCACGAAGCACATGTTGCCTTGCCGCACCAGCATCGTTGAAAAATTTGGTTCCGAAGACTTTTGTTGCTCGTGACTTTGTGGAGTGAGAAATGGTCCTTGGACACATCAGATATGGTTGACATCTTTTGCATTTAGATTTATTTAGCTGCTTTTCATTCTTCCAGCAGGCAAGCATTTCTCAATTCCTTAACTGTCTTGCCTGTTGGCATGCTGTCTTGGTGTTTCCCGAGTTTACGGTATCAGCTGTGATTTTTTTTTTAATCAAAAGCTATGAGGGGGCTATTTTTGGTTTGCTATTTAGGTAAATAAAAAATTACCATCGGCACTCTTTCTGTATGATCTTTGATCACCGCAGCTGCTGGATAAATATTACATGATGTACATAATTTGTATTAATAATGGTTGCATGTGGTATAGTTATCTTCCCATTGTTGTACAGCAAAAGGGAAAGGATAAATGCTTTTGATTGATTTCCCCTCCAAACCAAAAGCATTCCTCCTCGGACTACTGTTCGGCATCATGAATGTTTTGGAGAAAGCTACCGTAAAATTGGCGGAACTTCTAGTGGCATCGGTTTGTATGCACGTGCATTTGTAAATCCTCTTTTTAAAATATTTTGTGTTGTCGGCCCACCAAAGTCAAACTGGCTTTCCAGTGGCGAGCACATAGCAGCGTTGCATGTTGCCTGCAGCAAGATCTTGCACATTTTCTTGGTGAAGGGTGCAACTAGGGTCAGTTGTCAAAAGTGACTCCCAGGGCCGAGACTTGGATACCTCTCAATTTGGCCCCCTTCATTCATATAGTAGGACATTACAAAGCAGGGCGGTGCGGTGAAATTAAGGTCGCTTCTTTAGTCTGTCCTTGGCAAAACAGAATTGCGCACATCGTGCACACTTGTGTCAAACGTGTGTTTTGAGACAAGCCATGCTCGAATTTCACTCGCATGCATGCTCAAATGCAAAGCACAATGTTGCTGACATTGCCGTGTTGACAAAGCAGATATACGTGCTTGCACACACATTTCCAAACACTGGAGCGGTTTTGTTCCTAATGCTTCTTTCACCATGATGAAAACAACTCAACCAGCAAGGTACGAGACAATACAAAAAAAAAATATCTCCTCGTGTACAGTCATAATCTTGATTTGAGCTACGCAATTAACATTTTTATTTCCACTTATTCAGTCTCTGTAAAGGGCAGGGCCTATTTCTAAACAAGCAGGTTGCTGCCATTTGTCTTGAGTCCTGGCAGTGTTCAATTGCATCACTTTGTACACGGGTAACCTATGTGCTAATGCTGTCTTCCTTGTTCCTTGTGATGCTGTAGAATGCCTCTGTTCAGCAGGAAGGGTGTTAATAACTACAGGTACTTTTTTGTGCACTTCAGGCCATGTATTTCATGCCGCTCCTTTATCCAGGCGAATGCGTGCGGCCACGTAAATGTTTATCTCAAAGCATCCGAAAATGATGTGACGTGCTCGCGTGCGTTTCACGTGTGTGTTGTTTGGCAGCGACATGGCTTGTTTTTATAGGAGAAATTTGAAATATGCGGTGCGTTCAATAAATTTTTCATTTGTTTTGTTGTGACTCGTGTTATATTTAATTGAAGGCGCGTTTCACTACTGCTTGGTTAACACTACAAATAGTTAATGCAAAATGATTCAGCAGATGGTCATTTTAATTTGGCCATTCTCTAACATCAAGCTTTGCAAATGATGACCCATCACTGTACCTGCTGTTTTAAAGAATAACTGGAGCTTTGGGATTTCTTCAGAATGATGACATTTGACATTTCTTCATTAAGTCGGTCATGATGTATTGCTCACATGGTATTTTCCACTGCTTAAAATGGTAAATGGTCTAAATCAATTATTCCAGCTCATCTTTCTGATGTTGAATTATACTTTATTCTGTGAAGCAAATGTGTGCCCTGGTGTCTGAAAAGACTGTTTTAATCAAAATGAAAATGAATATTTATTGAACTATATGCGTGCTAAGTACAGCCCTAACGCATGGCACGTTTAATCCAACTTCTTCTTAACCACACTGCTGACGTGTACAAAATGTATCACCTTTTGGCTTCATTAGCTTTTAAGCATCAAATGTTACACATTTTCTTAGAAATCTGAGGCTTTAGTTCAAACCTTGGCACCATCTCATCCATAAACCATAACATGAAGCTTAGGTAATGCATTTATCGATAAGATTTTTTTTTGCTGTGCAGTTCTGTGATCATTAATATCTTGTATTAAAAAAATCTGTTCTTACAATCATGCATGTCAATAGAAATTGCTGAAATGAAGATTTCAATAAGACATCTACAATTTCCTCTGCTGTATTCAAATAAGGTGTATGAAAAAACTTGACATGCCATCGTGCATTGTTTTGGTGTGTTTATTGATACCAAACAATTGTCCACTCATCATAACATTTGTAAAATGCCACTGCATTAATTTAGAACAAGTCCGGCATGACTTCTAACTAATCCTGGATGGTCAATTGGAGACAAACTGCCGGCCCGCATTGTCATCCCTTGCCGCAAATTTATAATTTGTTTCCATTGAGATATGGTTACATATAATTTACTGCGGGTTAGCATGAGACCTCGGAGGCATGTCATGGAGTGTGATTATAATGACGAATGATCTCTCTCCCTTCTGGTTCTCTTCCCCCCCCCCAACCCACCTCGTCCCCTCAGACACCAAGGCAAGCCTCACGGAAGGGCGAGCGGTAGTGAGCGCTCGACCTCGGAGGGTGGCACTCCACTGGCGACCGCCGCCACGTCTCCGGCGTGCGACCAGGCGCTGCCCAACGGCGGGGACAGCAGCCCGCAGCCCGCGACGCGGTACAGCTCTACGGCGCTCGGCAGTGCGGGCACAGGCGTGAGTGGCGGCGGCGGTTACAGCCGGAAGGACGCGGCGTCACCTCGAGCGGACAACAACTCGGCAGAAGGGCACGCGCCCTTAGCCCGGGGAAGGTATAGCAAACGACGAACGTAATAAAAAAACACATTCCCTGGTTAGAAAGCGTGCTTTCTAAAAAAAACACACACACACTGCCTCCGTCCTGTTGAGCCACATTAAAATGCTCTGGTTTTGTTTAACACGTAGGCTTTCGCGAGCAATATCGTCCATAATATAGGGGGGTGGTTTGGGTTAGATCGCGTAAATACGCTCTGGTTATGGTTGTCGAGAGTAATCTTTGCAGTTCTCATATATTCCACAAGAGGGTAGTGTAACATCACCTTATTACCCAAGTTATATGCTGCAAGTTGATGTACAAAGTGTATAGGATCTAAGTAAGCCTTAATTTTGGCCATCTCATTTGCGCTATGTTTTACCGTTTCAGTCGAAACGGCTACAGGACAGGAGGCCGGAGAAGAAAAGAAGAAGAACGAATGGCTGTAAGAATTCAATTTAATTGTTTTATTTTTATTATTTCCCTTCTACGTGACTTTACCGAAAGAACCAAGAATATATAAGAATTCAATTAAAGTCACATTCATGGCTGAAGTACGATCACACAAGTGACTTGGCTTATTTGAGATTTACAAGTATATTGTTTACATGGCAATTCTCACGTGTATCTAAATAGTATATTGCTCTTTTCAAGATCTGTTTTTTTTACAAATATATACAAAGTCATGCATCGTGTGGTAGGGAAAGTATTATTCAATGGTCATAAATGTCAGCCGGTCACCAATCATAATTCTTTGTCCTCTGCCCAACCAATCGTGAACTTGCAATATTCCAAAACTCGATTTGAAGCTTTCGTGACTGCAAGGATTCATATTCTTAGGTGTTTTCGGTAAAGTCACGTAAGTAAAACATTAAAATTAATAAAAGTAAAATAAAATAAAAATCACGACGTTTCGGAGGCAACACAAGTCTCCGTCATCAGGTGGGACCGTCACAGTCACTTGATGCAGCAAATCTGGCTGTGACGGTCCCACCTGATGATGGAGACTTGTGTTGCCTCCGAAACGTCGTGATTTTTATTTTATTTTACTTTTATTAATTTTAATGTTTTACCTACGTGACTTTACCGAAAACACCTAAGAATATGAATCCTTGCAGTCACGAAAGCTTCAAATCTAGAATATATATTATTATATAATATTATTTTATTATTTCCATTCTACGTGACTTTACCGAAATTTCCAAGAAGATTACAAAACTCATCGTGAGAGTGCATAATACATCCTACGTGTTAAACAGGTATGCAGAGTGAAGGCAGTGCTTAACTTAGAAATTACAGGTAGTGATGGACAGAGCTGATAATAGCAGTCATAATAAAAACGTATGCTGAAAGTGAATTGGCAGTCGCTGAACAAAACTTATCTAAATATTGGATGATTGACTTAAAAAATACCTTTGAACTTTACCTGCTTATATTAGGTAATGCGATGATCGCAGGCTTGTAGATAATCGCGTGTTTGTTTGCGTGCCGCATGTTTACCGTACACCAGCCCAGTCCTCCTGCCCCAGTTATACCCGAGCCGGACTTTGAGCTGGCCCCATCCAACTTCCCCCCTCTACCTGGCGCTTCTCAAAGCATCCGGCCGGATGGGGTGTTTGAGAATCGCATGGCTGACGTCGTACGAGGGATTCCCAGAGAAAAGGTACTTATAAGAATTGAGCCCCCATTGCACTGACTTGCGTCAATTTGGTACTATTTCATGGGCACGTGTATATCCGTTGGTGTCGTCACTGGGTTAGAGCACGTCCTCATCACAGCACTCGCTCTTGTGAGTTTCTCCATGCTGAACTGGTTTTGCTCTTGATGGCTTTCTATCATGTCCATCTTTGTCATCTTCTTGCCCTTGTGACTTTTGAGTTTCCCAAGGAGGAGGTGTGACAGGGGAATGCCTGTGTGTCATGAGAGCAGCACATACACACATACAATTGCTTGATTGATCGTGGCATGAATGTGCCCAAGGGGGATATGAAAAATAGGTTTAATGCGTCCTGAATTATTCTCGTAACAGTCCTGTTGCATTATATACAAGGCTGTGTGTATAAATGCTGCTGAGGGCATCACTTGCAAAAGCACACTTGTGAATGCAAAAAGCAATCTTCATTGAGGCCAAGTTGAATATTCAGGAATAGGGTTCACTCTCACTTGTAAACTAATCTTCATGCATATAGTACTTGCAGCCACTGTATCACGTTTACTTCAACAGTGGTGTGTTGATTTAAAGCTTTCGTGACTGCAGGGATTCATCTTCTTGGTTCTTTCGGTAAAGTCGCGTATTATTTCTCTTGTACGTGACTTTACCGAAAGAACCAAGAAAATATAGTGGTGTGTTCTGCAGATCTGTATCCATAGTAACTTACCAGTGTCCATCTCACCCCGACACAATTGTACACCTTAAATTAAACGTCCCTCTCCTTTGCAGCAAGAGGAGTCTTGTGTGTGCATCTCTATCGCAGAATTTGGGTGCAGTCCCTCATGTGTGGACAAGAAGTTATTGAAGGCATTTCGGAAGTTCTGTGATGTCGCCGACCAAATGCGGCCTTTCTATAACGTGGGGTGGTGATGAGACTGCTTTCTGGGAGAGTTCCGAAAGGAATTTTTATTCATCCCCCATATATTATCAATAAGCACAATTGGAATATAAAAAGCAAAATGACCAAATAATATAAGTCGGCTCTTTTAATTACCAGGATTGTGGATAATTATTGGAGCGTGTACTGTTTTACATTTCGGTATTGAGTAATGGACTTCCATTGATATGACAATTGAGCTTTTTTTCCAGTGTTACATTTGGAAGAATTGAACGTGTTTTAAGTGAACGAGAGACGCTCGTTTCTGAGTTGTTTTTCGGAATTCACTCCAGGTGAGCTTTTCCAAAATGTTTTGTCCTCGTCGTACACGATGGCATTGTGTTTTATTTCAGCACGCAAATAATGACGAGAACTCGAATTCGACGGCGGACGCGAGAGAGGGAGCGGAGAGCACGCGGAGCGCGGTGCCACAAGCCGTCGCCATCAGCCCCCTGAATTCCCCAACTGTGAAAACCGTCAGGTCTGTATCACTCCCCTTAATTGCTACCATTATTTTAGATGAGAGCCCATTGAGACGAAAATGTTATTTCGAGGGAGACTTGGCAATTACGAAGGAGCAGCATGCTATGTGTAATGTCTTTATTATTTGGAACATGACCCTTGCCGCCTTTGGCCCATTTAAAACCTTCACTGCACATTGAGACGGCTGACAATATATCGCTCCTTCCTGCCTGCAAAAAGTAAGCCATTTATAAAGTGTACATAAAATTCCGTGTAACTCTTTCATGGGTAATTCATGCTAAAATTGTTTAGGCATTAATGCTGAGAAGTCCCACCTTGCCGTGGGAACGTCGTTAATTGTTGCGTTGGATCGCAGCGCTCAGAGGTCGTCGGCTTTCCATGTGTCGCAGTGAGAGCAGGAGTAGCGTGGTGACGGTGGCGGCAGCAACTGTGGCAGACGTGAAGCATCCGCCAAAGTCTCCGCAGCCACGAGCCACACATGGACAGCCCGCATCGCCTCAGCCTCAACCGCAACCCCAGCCTCCACCCCAGCCTCAGCCACAGCCCCAGTCCCAGTCCCAGCCCCAGCCAGCATCCCCATGCAGGTGGTGGCAGCAGCAGCAGCAGCATCGGCAGCAGCAGCAGCATCGGCAGCCCCACAGACGTGCAGGTGAGAGGTCGTTTCTCAAAGTGCATCGTTGAAAATGGAAACGAGGACCGTGTTATGCGGGTAGATGGACCTTCTTTTAAAATGCTGCCACCTTCCCTCCAGCCACCAAATATACACACGAGCTAAAGCAACCGACCAACAATCCAGATACCCGTGTACAGCCCTTTTGTCAGTCCTCTGTCAGTCCTATTCTGGTTGGGGGGCTCTCTCCACACCGTGCCGGGGTCTTGAGGGTTAATTTTGAAGGGTTGACATGGGGGCAAATTCGATGTGAAGCATGGAGGTCCAGTAACATTTATAATTGTTACCATTGTAAATGTGGGTTTACTCTACAACACACCGGTTTGCTGAGCTAGTAACGAATTGGGATATTTTGTTTACTTGAAAAACCTTGTTAATTGGCTGTGTCGGGTGGTGGTGGGTTTGACGACACATTTATATTTACGCGATCTAACACAAAAAAACCTCTTATGGACACTACAGTACTGTTATTCTGTCATTGAGGTGTAGTGTCCACCGTCGCTGCTTAACCCTTATTTAGCTTGAGGTTTGATGACCTCGGCTACATTCCGTGTGAATTGGTCATCAGCAAAATATGCAAAGTGCACACAGCACAACCAAAGAGCAAAGGTGCCTATCACTAAACTCGCATGATAAAAAAAACTATTTAATGGCCATTAAAAACTCCACTGATCATGCTTTTGAGGTGTTTGTCCATTTGAATTTAGCATTTTTTTGTGTGTGGGAGGAAACTGGAGTGCCCAGATAATGAACAATCCACATTTAAAAGTGGTGACACTCAAACTTAGTGTACTGAGTTTAATGTCGCTTTCTTTCTAGAAGTTGACTCGACTCCGATTCATAATTGTCTTCCAGAATATAGTCCATTGCTGTGCAGCATGAAGGATGAGAAACTAGGCCTCTGTGAAGGTAATACGGGCTCTTTTGGTAATCGATGAACTGTACACCTGAGTTGTGTGTGTGTATGTATCTATGTATGTGTGTTTTATAAATCAAACCAGGAACCGAAGAAACTCAGTTATGCCGAGATCTGCCAGAGAGCGCTGAAGGACGGCACTGTCCAACTGCCAGCACAGCCTCATTCCCAGCCCTTGGCACGGGAACACAAGACCAGCAGCAGCAGCAACAACATTGTCCAGTCCAACTCCTCCAACAACGCCGTGGCTTGTGGCAACGATGGAATCGGCAGGCGTGACGGTCAGGGCCGGGCCGCCGACGGCGCGGCGGCGGCGGCAGACAAGACGGACGTGCGTTCATCTCGCGACTCTCGCGAGCCGCAGCGGCTTGCCGGGGTTGTCGGCGGGAGGGCGGCAATGGCGCGACGGCCTTCTCCACAGGGCTGGTACCACGGCGGGCGTCGCGCCAGCCGGGAGCACGGCACGCCACCACCCAAGTCGCCAAAGTGACCTGGCTGGCAGCGAGCGGGGGGGGGGGGGGGCAGCTTGCCCCTCTTGACCTCTGTGAGACGGTGTTGGAGGAAGGGAGGTGGGAGGAAAAGATAAATAATCAATTCCACCACACCAAGGGCAGAGCGCTCAACCAGACAAGACCCCTTCCCTATGTGCGGTGAGAGAGTTTTGATTGCGAATAGAGGGAGAAAAACACACGGAAGACGATGAATATAAGTCTTAACTTTTTTCCAGGCTTGACCACGACATTTTGCACTTGAAATGCAAGGCATTGCCGATGCTACGGTGTGTACATGCCCATTTCTTTAGAAGGGTGGTGGTCGGTGCGACAAAGAAAAGGAACATCTACAGTCAGTACAACACCACTCAAACATGGGTTTACAGGTACAAGTTGGACACCAAAGTGGTCATTTTTTTCTATTCTCCCCAGCCCCCTTTATTTTTTCCTCCCCATTGTGAGATAATATATGCAAAATGCGCAACGTTTCTATCACACTGCTGTGCAATTCTACTAAATATATACCATTGTCAATCGTGCGTTGTGCACACGTAGTGCAGAGCATACATATTTATTTAAAGCAGGCGTTACCCATTGTTTAAAAGTCGAATATATCTCGCGCTCAGGCAACCTGCTGGCAAGAAAAATGGGCAGCAAACATTTCAACATTTTCTGAAAAAATATATATAACAATCTGGTAATCTTTAAATAATGATGGGCTTTATATGTGCAATAGTTTCATTCAAAAATCTGAATACTACTGTTCCAAAGCCATTGTTTTAACTCGGTGTTTGTTTTTTCTCAAACAACGTGGGGGGCTTTTTCAGCCGGTAAAATTCGATGCCAGGTAATGGACAGATGTCATGGCCTGCTGCCATGCTATTGGGAAATGCGCCCACACAGCATGTGAATTTCATGGAAAGATCCCTTCCAACAACAAGCGATTTGATGGAGCGAGCAAAACTTTGCTTACGTTTCATTTTGACTTTTTTCTCTAACACTTCCCCCCCCCCCCCCCCCGATGTGATGCGGTAAAATAACTCTTCAAAGAAAGAAATTGAAAAGCGTGCATTTCAAAGGTGAAGGCAACCATCGCATGAGTTGGGATGCATGCAATTGAACCGGCGCAGCCCACATGCTTGGGTGGATAAGCCCCCCCCCCCCACTTGTCCCCTCATTACAGCATGGTTTACCCATTGTGGTTTACCCATTGTGGGTTTGCCCATTGTGGGTTTGCCCATTGTGGGTTTGCCCATTGTGGGTTTGCCCATTGTGGGTTTGCCCATTGTGGGTTTGCCCATTGTGGTTTGCCCATTGTGGTTTGCCCATTGTGGTTTGCCCATTGTGGTTTGCCCATTGTGGTTTGCCCATTGTGGTTTGCCCATTGTGGGTTTGCCCATTGTGGGTTTGCCCATTGTGGGTTTGCCCATTGTGGTTTGCCCATTGTGGTTTGCCCATTGTGGTTTGCCCATTGTGGTTTGCCCTGAATTGGTGCGTTTGGTTAAAGTACCCAAAAAACGTGGACATTATTTTTGGTGTAAATAGAACCCAACCCGGGTTGCTTTAAAACTCAACGCGATATACCACGATTTAAAGAACGTTGCGGTCGCAGTTAGTTGCAAGGCAGAGTTGAGCGTGCTTATACCGTAGGGGCTGGAATGAGCACGCGAGCGCTAAAATTTCGGAGGGTTTGAATCCCCATTTTTTTTTTTGGCGCTGCCTTTTTGAAGCACTAGAAATGCCTTGTGTTCGTTACAGACAAAAAAAATTAAAGGAAAAAACACCGAGATGTCTTTATGTGAAGTATGATATTGTCCATCATCTCGTCTCTTCGACAACGTGAGGCATGTACAGGCCAAAATAACGTACAGTTAATAAAAGCCTGTTTATTTATTGCGGCAGCATTTCTCGGTGCTTGCCATTCTGTGCATCGCTTACATGTTAAAGTCGGCCAGACCTGCAATGTCATGTGTACATATGCCAATCTGTTGGCGAAAATCAAATAACCACAGCGATTGATAATATTAACTGTACATAGTGTGTTACCTGTGTCAAAGACGCTATTGCTGTTAAGTGACAAAAAGTTGTATATCTAAATAATTAATATAAATGGCTTGTAGAGTAGATCTGACAAATCACAAAATACAGTCTAAGCGATGATTATAAAACTGGAACATCATATGGATCAGCTACTTGTGAAAAACAAACTCAATGCTAGTTTATCAGGTGGTAAATGTTGCCAGAGTGCTGGGAATATACAGGCTCTTGAAGTCGAATCCATTAATCGTAGCATAGTGCTCAAAAAAGGTATTAAAAAACTAATTGATCACGGGACAGTTTTTGCACTGTATTTAGATATATCAGTCATGAGATTGAGAACGTGTAAGCAGTGTTGATTGTTTAAAGGAGAGCAGACATTGAGCAGGTGTTGGTGAGGTTCGGTAATTGATTTCAAACTGTTCAGGTTTGGGAGGTGAGCAAGTGACCTCTCCTCGGCCACTAAATTGACAGCCTTCTGCAGAAAGTGGCGTTAAGCATGCCACATGCTACGTGGCCACTTAATTTAGCATACAAGTTATTGTGTACTTTCACATGGGGAAATGCAGAAATGCTCATATATTAAAAAAAAAAATCTAATTGAAGTGGTTTTAACCATTTCAGACTGCTTTGATTAACTTGTGCTGCAGGTCCTATTTAAAATGTTGACTTGATGTCGAAGTCATCCAGCCCTGTTTCGGACCAGCCTGATGTGCTTGTACAGATCTTGCAGGTTATCTCACTTGGAGACCTTTGGGCAAATCAGAACATGTGCAAGGGAAACATCGTAACTACAATTTGGCACGAAGGCTGGACTTTACCAACACCTTTTTGTATACACTGTAAACACTAAAGAGGCTTTCTTTTCATATCATGTGACTGTCCAGTCAGGGAATGCCCGAATAATAATCATCGTGCATAACTGGAGGCAATTAACAGACAGTCTGACGATTCTTGGGCATCGGTCAATGTGCTATAATGTAATTCTCAAATGTGACTTAGCAAGGCGATTACGGGATTGGCTGAAAGGGGGACACGTGTGTGTGTGAGGCTCTAGTTTAAATTGTCATTGCTGGCCCTAATTGCCACAGCCTCGGCTTCTGTTTTGCTAATTCTCCAGTGAGAGCCTTCGTTTGGCTCCATCGAGCAACCAGGAATAATGTTGCGGCAAAGGGTGAAAACAAAAGTAGTGCGTTTTGGAAATTTCTGCGTCCTGTTTTCTTGGGTATCTGAACGGCCGAAGGTTGGCTTTCCATTTGCTATGCAGTGGCTGACGGAAATTTGCAAACCACAAGAACGCATGCAGCTTTTATTTTCGTTGTTTGGTGGTTAAGCCCTGGCACGAATCGATAACTTGCTGAACTGAAGCTGAATGTCTCTTGCTGAAGAAACGAATGTAATGGTGGTGACAAAACGTGTTGGCACATCATTAATGTTTTTTTTTTATTCAACACGGGTATAATTCCATGTGGAAATAAACTCATTGGGCTCTCTTAAGGAGTTTTCCACGCCTGCAAGCAAGAGGTTAATGACGGCTTCTGTTTGTGGCTGTTTGGAGAGTGACTTTCCCCCCCCCCCCCCCTTCTGCCGAGGTTATGTTATTTATATCTTTTTTTTGCTTTGCCTGTGTCTCATTTACAGAGGGCTCTAATATAGAAAGTCAGTGTCGTAGAGTAAGATATAAAGCTTTGGCGTTTAAGCTGCAGTGGAATTAAGCGATGCATGCCTTTGTGAGCTGCAGTCCTTCGTCATTTAATTGAAACATTGCTATTACTCTTTCGTGGCCAAAAAAATATTTTGGTTAAATATTAGATATGAAGAACGATATATACAAAAAAAATGCTTTTGCATTTTGGAAAAATGTACTGAACAAAAGACATTTCTTTACGTTACGTATGGCCAAAACCAAAAAGCATTTTTGGCATGTTGGTGACTCTTACCACCCACCCAATTATGACCAAGGTGCTGTTTTTGTTGAACTCTTTGGCCCTGTTGTCGGTTGCATAAAATACAGGAAGTGATTTCCTCCCCCCTCCCCCTTCAACTTGCATTGCTTTAAAAAAAAACCTAACAGGAAACGTCCTGAAGGGTTTTATGCAACTTGACTCTGGGCCCCAGATTTACTATTTGTGAACCAAAATGTTACAAAGAGCACTGTGCTACCATAACACACAGCACACGGTTCAGTTCTTTGTATTTCTGGAAAATTCATTTTTCTGTTGTGATGGAGATAAATTATCATTGGCCTTTGTGATGGCATCAAAGTGTGTTGGGTGCTTCCTCGGTGGATGCACTGTGACTTGCTGAGCCTTTGACATCCTTAACTTTTTAATGTATATTTTTTTAATCGTACTGGTGTTAAGTTACATTTCATTTTTCCCCAAATCATATTGTAAGGCCAGGGCGTTGCTGCAGTTGATGATGGAAGAATTACTATACAAAATGTTTTATTTGATTGATTCAACAAATAAAAGAATCAAACATTTTTAACACCAATTACATTAAACTTTAAGAATAATTTGTTGGCTTGCAGACGTTTTGATCCATCTGCCCTACTTAGCTCCGTTAGTGTTATTTTGCCTTGTATTGGAAATCACCTGAATGTTAATCACTGTTTAACTTTAAATTGTGATGATATAGTTTGAAATTTTGACATGGCAGTTTTTTTTTATTTGATATTTGTAATGCATTACTGCTTTTATTTAGACGATAGAAAGAGTAAATAGATGAAAGAATGCATATAGATGTTTGCTTTTTGGCCAGAGGAAAACATCTGCCTGCTATAATTTATCACTAGTTGCAAAAAATGTACAAAAAAAACATAAAAACACAAATATATAAATTAACTTGTTGAATAGTATTGGCAGCGGGTTTGGTGTTAACTAGGTAAAAAAAATGTTCCTTGTGCACAATTATGATTAACTTGCTGTACACTGGGATATTGCTTCGAACTACATGGGGGGAGAGGATCCCATCACTGATTTACGACAATGTCGCATTGTGATGTCAAAACTTGAATCTGGATCTGCGCCGGGTGGTGGTGACTTCTTTGCCTTAATTTTTTTGTATTTAATTCGGGGTGATTGTCGTCATTGTCGTCGTTGCCGCGTGATGTTTTGCACCACGCTTGCTGAAATGCATGCTGCTGTCGCTCTATTCTATGGCCAGCAGACTAACAATTGGCCTCTCTCTCTCGCGCACACACACACAGTCGTGTCAGCAACTATAGAATAACTAAAAAAATGATTGATTAATTTAACAAATGAAATGATATCTCGCGTACTTTTTATTTCTTGGAGCCAGTAATCCACATGGTATTTGCTTTGCATCATTAAATGTGCTGTCATGTTCGCAGGAAGTATTTTCACCACTCGTATGTTTGGTTTTGTCTTCTTTTCCCACCATTATGTAATAAATTGCAAAAAAAAGTGTGTTTAAAACAACGTTGTTGGAGGAAAAGACGACCGTGCACTTGAGATGAAGCTAATTCTGTAATGCGTGTTCATGTATATATTGTTTGTGCATCGAGACAACGGTACTATCTATGTTTTGTTTGTATTTTTTGCAAACATGCTACTTTGCTTTTAACTTGTCTCGTGTATATCATGGGGGCTTGGTGTGCTACTGGTGCCGACCGCAATGCATTGTGGGACGTTTCGCATCTACAAGCAATGAGTGCCTGGGGGAGATGGTGGGAATCGATGTACTGCACAAAAGTATAGATGGTCCAAGACTTATATGGCAAGTCCTATCGGCGAGCACCTATTATTTAGGAAACAAGGCGATTATGGTGTTGCACAGCATCGTGCTTGGCCAACCATTTTTGTTCCTCAAGTTAACGTGGTAGGTGGCACAAGGGGCCTTCTGATACCACCAATTGATATTGCACATTGCCAGGAATTGAACCCAGGTCACGACGATGATACCACTACACACGCTCGTACACGTGAACACTGCTTGGGTTTGTGAATCCAGGTGAAACCTTTCAGGGGAAGCCACAAATTGTGATTTTTTTTTTACAATGTCCCTCTGGACAGGTCCAAGCCCGAAGCATTGTTTTCAAGAAAAATCTCAAAATAGCATTTGTTCCATCGTGGAGAGCACTTTCATTGTCCAAGCCACTGTGAGCCTGGGGTCACAGCTAACAACCATTGTGTTAACCGGTTGTTTTTTTTTAAACCTAAAATTGCCATACAACAATTCAACTGAGAAAGCATCCGAGCACATCTTAACACGATGACTGTACGTGTGGTGGTGGTGCCTTTCAAGGGATTTTCAAATAGAATAGTTTATCTGCGGGAAAATTGTCAATCGATACACCTCAAAGGGACCTCATAGCTTCATACTTTTTCACAAGCACATCAGCTGATTCTGTTTTCTTTAACAAATGTTTAAACGTCAACAGCGCGTGTAATAGATGACACGGCTTATGAAAATGTGATCAACGTTTTAAAAAAAATATTCCTCGATAAGGAGCTTGCATTACCAATGTCCATAATAATCTTGCATAAATTTGAGACCAAAACCGCTATCAAAAGCAACAAGGTCGTGAAGATGCGCCCACTGATCGTGATGGAATAGAATGCGATTCAACGTAATTCAGTCGGGAATTCAACGGGTGGCGCCATAGGACAATGCTGACCGACACGGTGCGCGTTACTCGCGCGCTATTCGTGGTATAGGGTGAGGAGTGCACAATAACATAAAAGAGGACATATTCTTGATTCTTTCGGTAAAGTCACGTAGAAGGGAAATAATAAAATAATAGAAATATAAAACAAAATATTTATATTCTTTTATTATTTCCCTTCTACGTGACTTTACCGAAAGAACCAAGAATATGAATCCCTGCAGTCACGAAAGCTTTAAATAAAAAAAAGAAAGAGGACACTTTAAGAGGGCCCTGTTATAAATGCAGCAAATGGGGGGGGGGGGGGGGAATTCGACCCTTGCTGCATAGAGCCGTAATATAACATCACAGGGTCTGCGTTGATACGTTTTGTGGTGTTCTCAACTCGATAGGATTATAATAAATTGTACTCCCATTTTCTCTGTCCGAAGCATGTCAATGGAGAATGTTTACAGTTTATATTGTGGATGTGTGTTTACCATAATACGTACCTTTTAAAATATGTAACCTAATCTGTGCAGGCAGGTGAGGATGCATATACTAAAATATCAATTGCGAACATCTTCAATCGGGATCTTAAACTAAAGGTTGTGGATGTATGTACACCATTAATACGCACCTTTTGAATTCAACGTAATCTGTGCAGACAGGTGAGGCAGTGCCGGATTAAGCTCGTGCGGACCTGTAGCATATATTATCAAGGGGTCCTAAATAAAAGAAAAACCCCACTAATATTAACACATT